TCTCTCTCTCTCTCTCTCTCTCTCTCCACATAAATCACTTGACTAAGAAATAACAAGACAGACTCACTTCCAAAGTCTCTGACGGTGAAGTTGTTGGTCTTCACTCCCTCTTGAGGGGATTTGAAGGAAAATCTTTGTCCGGCTTGAGGAAGATCCTGGTCTCTTGCACTGATGACCTGAATCACCTATATGACACAAAGTTAATCGAAAGATTATTGATCAGGGTTTAAGAAATTGAACATAAACAGTCTCTGATGGTATATTTGATCACTGTGGGACACCCAGAATGTGGTTAAAAATGTAAAACTGCATAAATATAGTCTTTTAATGGTTAATCGCTTGTTTAAATATTTTATGGTAAACATTGAGGATTACACAATTTCTTAATGATTTATGAAGGTTATTAGTGCACACTGGCATATAATCTCGTATACTAAAAAAGTATATATTAATTGAAACTATTCACATCTTCAGTTCTTTAGGGACAAACGAAATAAACATTAGAATAGAAAACTCATAGTTAGAGTCAGTGTTTGCTCTTAATTAATGGAGATATACAACCATATAATATATTCCTTAGAAGAAAAACAATCCACTTTACAGTGCTTTATGTATATGAAACAATTGCACTCACAACATTAAATGAAGCATGAGTTAGAAACTAGTCACAAGTGCATGAAGATAAGTGGCAGCCGGCAGCATGTGCTCAGTAATGTTTAATCAAGTGCTCCTGTGGTTTTTCTCCTCGATTCTGCATCTAAAACCAATTAGTCTGCTTTCAATCCAGCGATCATACACTGTGCACTAACAGTACAAGCAGATCAATCTTCCGTAGCTAACAGACGTCCGTACCACCCACCCTCCTGCTGGCATCACCTGTTGTAGGGCTGTCACCAGCACCACAGGTGCATGCTGGGTAGGACCATTAACACAGCACTAATGTATCACTTACCCACCAGGCTCGTCCTGTCCAATGTATCAATCAAACCACACAGTTCTGTCCAGAAGCGTCATACCCATTCAAACTAAGAAAAAGGCTCTAAACTAAGAAAAAGACTTATAATAGAACATAAATAAAAATAAATAAATAAATAAATATAAATCTCATATATAAGTATTTTTTTCCCTTCCAAGTACCTAGTGAGACAGGACAGTGAAAAAATATAATAAAAATTATATTAAAAAAATAATCTCCTTCTTGGTAACTAGTGAAGCAGGACTGTAAAAATAGTAAATTAAAATAAAATGTAAAATAATAAAAACACCCTAGCAACCACCTAGCAACACCCTAGATACCACTCCAAACACCTTAGCAACTGCATAAGTGTTTTTATTAATTTCTGGTATCTAGTGTAGTAGGACTGTGAAAATACAATAAAATAAAATAAAAATTGCAACCAGCAACACCCTAGATACCACTTCAAACACATTAGCAACCACATAGCAACATCCTGGCAACCACTAACCTCATTCATTGTGGTGATGCGCAAAAATTACTCACTTTTGTTTTCGCATAATATACAAAGAAATGCAATAGGAAAACATATTGTATAAAATATCTCACAGCATGTTTTCAGAAAGGTTTTCCTGTTTACTCTCTGGTTCAGGGGTTCAGTGTAAATGGGAAAGATACAGTAGATTAGGAATTGCTCACACACACCTGCCCGACTTTGGCGCTCTCACACACGAAGGTCTCGTAAGGCATGGCCAGCTCTGGTGGAAACTCATTAATGTCCAGCACATGAACTGTGACGGCCACTCTACTGGTCAGCACTGGGTTATCTACACAAACCACACAAACATGAGATATTATATGTCATGAGCAACACAAAGCACACATTACAATGCACAAGTTTGCACTCGTTCTTCAGTTATGGAAACTTTTCTCTCCCTTAGAATGATTTTAAAGATTATTTTAACCAGTTATTCTATTTTTAAAGGATATACGAATTGTTAAAGGATAGAGAAAGCAATAATGCTTATTATGTTGGATTTCTGTTTAAAAATGGAAAATATTATGTTTTTTAATTAATCTTGCACTATAGCATCAGACATTTAATTGTTTTGCATTTATCATCACAGACAATATCCACAATAAGCATCACAAGACTGACATCACCATATACCAAAATGACATAATAATATGTTTTAAATTATAAAAGTTTAGTTTGGGGTCAAAGTCAAGTGATTAGAACAGAATCATCCATATACATTTTTTACATGGTTCAGTTTGAGAACTGCTTATAGAATTGGGATCGAATTGACCCTGTCCCATTAATAACTCCACAATTCTTTACTAAAATCATATGACATCAGCCTTCTGCTGAGGAACCAAAATACATTATTAATACAGGACTGAGGACATAATTTACAGTCAAAAAAGAAAGTAGTACACTGTACTGAACGTCATGTTCTAAACCACTAATATACTATACTGCCATCATGTGGTTTTACACTGAAAACTTTAAAGGGGTTTTAAGTATTATTCATAGGCTGCTATTCTATTCTATTCTATTCTTAAAACTACAAAAAGGTTTAGTGAGTAAGAATATAAGGTAAAAATCTGTCTAAAAATAAGAAGTTTCTAGCTGACACACAAGGTCAGCGGGGTCCTCTCTGGCACAGCTGTTGATGTTTGAACACGTCTCGCTGATATTGTTTGAATTCTGCTCGAGCGTGCAGTGTGGAGGTGAACATCAGTGTGGAATAAACTTTTATAGATCAGATCTGTGAGATGGGCTCAGCATGTCTGAGGAGAAGGTGAGAAGGCTTAGAACGAGGGATCTGAACTCATCCCTCCCAGGGGTCCCGTATAAAGCCAAGACTTGTGGGCGACCTTGATGAAGATGAGCAATCTTCCTGGAGAGAAAGTGTGTGTGTGTGCATGTGTGTGTGTCTGTGTGTAGCTGTTTGTTACTTTAGCTTCAGGGGCTCCAGGGTGTCTGACGTCCAGTAAAAAAAAAAAAGAAAAAATGACTGTTGCTACAATTTATCTGAGATCTGACACGTCATCATTCTCCAGGTCCTGTGCTTCTGCCCCAGCTGTCCTGCATCAAATTCCTTTTTCTGTAGCCACTGTTGGAGTTTTACAAGACGTTCTGGCTAACTAAAAGTTAAATGCAATTCACTTCGATTTTCAAACCAAGTGCAAAATTTGAACCAACATATTTGATATGTTCAGATAACCAAAGTACTGAATATATGGCAACATTTATCATTTTCTGATTGCATACATTTGATGCATTTCAATATGTCAAGAAAATAATTTTAATAATAATATATTTTTTAACAATTCAGGGTGTGACCCAAACTACCTTTGACCTGCAACCATAATTTGATATGACTGGCATCTTTTAAATATTATTTAAACTAAATAATAATAATAATAATAATAATAATAATAATAATAATAATAATAATAATAATAATAATAATAATAATAATAATAATAATAATAATAATAATAATAATAATAATAATAATAATAATAAATAAATACATAAATAAATAAATGTAGATTAAAGCTTTAAGTTTAAATTGAATTTTCAACATTCTGATGAAAGTGATGAAGTTTCTCTGGAAAATGTACAAATCATTTTTTTTGAAGTGGACAAACTTAGTGGGTAAACACCTGCAAAATACATTTAAAAAACTATCAATGATTACATTTATGCATCAGGGTTTATTTAGGTTTTCTAATATTTTACAATACATTTTTAGAAAAAAAATATATATATATTAGAATCTAGTGAGTTTTTATTAAAACCACTACAGTGTTTACAAGTCAACTATGGCTTCAACTTAACGACTTAAATGACGGACTTTGCCACTAGATGGCGCTGTTGTATAAAGGAGAAGTCGTCATTTTGCTGTTCGCTAGATTTTTTGACAGCATAACAGTAAATGTGTGTTTGTGATGTTTTTGTTCGTGCTTCATGGTTATTGTTGACCTGGCTTCAAACGAATGAAAATGCTCTAATCACATATTTAAAACGTGCGTCTTTTTAAGATAAAACAGTTCTGCTTCCTTTGTAGGTTTGACAGACAGTTTGTGTAGCCTACAACAGTCTATAGGCTATATGTGGACAGCACATTCATTTTCAAGTTTTGATTGTGGCCCTATTTACAACTGGTGCTGTACAAGATGTAAACAAATAATTGTCTGCTTAACACATTTTGTAAAACATATTGGTTCTAGCTGTCGTGTAAAATAGTTTCTCCTTCAGCAAGCTGACTGTTGTAATGAGCGTCACAGAAGGGATTATGTAAATCAAATATGTTTGCTGTCCTAATGGAAACTAAAAGCAGAAGTTTTCATGATGTGCAACAAGCGTGGAGTGTTTGGAAACTGTGTGCTGACTCATGCTTCCCTCAGCACTTTCTTCTGAGGCTCCAGAACATCTGGAATTCCACCTGGTGTGACATTAATGCCCCTAAAAAGCGCAGGAGAGGTGTGGGAAAAAAACAAGAAGCTGCGATTTATGCTAGACTAGCTTGTGATGGTGTTGAACAGGTGTTCTCCGTACCTCATAATCAGATAGAAAAGCTGTCAAGCATGTTTTACAAGGCACTGCATAATGCAAGTAAGGATATTACACATCACACGCTGGTGATATGAGCATTTATAAGTTGTAGGAAAGCAAAAATGGCTTGTTTAATACTTAGTGCTCATAGTTATCAGCTTCAAATGGTCAAAATGGGCAAAAAAAGTTTTGACTAACTAACTTTTAGGAACATGCAAAATGAAAATTGTCTATTTGACTAGGATGCCTGAACAATTTTAAATATGAAAGATTCAGTCACAGTTGTGATATATGATGTTGCAAATGTATGAGACACATATGTGTGTGTATATATATATACAGTATATATATATATATATATATATATATATATATATATATATATACACAGAGTTCTGGCATGAAACTCTAGATGGTCCGATAGGTCTAACTCAGTCTGACCTAATGACATTTGTCGCAGAAGCAGCAGCAGCGTAGCAGATCTATTCCGCCAAGACCAAATACATTAACATTGTCATTTACATTAGAGAGTTCCGAGAGTTGTCATGACAGAAATATATATAGTCAAAAATAGCAGAGATGGCCTAGTTTATGAATAATTAATATATACTTTTGAATAACATTGACTATATTTATAATATTCAGTTTAGCCATGAGTTATGAATGTCTGACTATGTGCTCTGTGATTTCTCTGAATCCATCTGGGCCAACAGCACCGAATGTAAAATTGTCTAAAAGGCACTGATAGTGAATAAAAATGGAGCTTAACACAGGGTGGACAATTCCCATTGCAGGACAGGAGGGAAGTTTAACAGCCCCGACTTAGCTTTAGTCTCTCCCAAATTAGCTTTAGAAATCACAATTAGCATATCACCAGTGCAACCTTAAGAGACAGTGAGTAATAACCATTACCATGGTGATGAAGGCTCAACTTTTAATGACCTCTCATCCCCATTCCGTCTTAATGAATGTGAGTCACCGCATTTGTAATTTTGATTGAGCACCACATATCCACCAAGATAATGGCGTTGGGGACTTCTTGGAGGATTTGACGACTTGATGACGATGGATTTGCTTATTTATGTCGTGATTCAATCCACAGATCTTTTCCGACACAAACACAATTACAGCAATGACATCTTTGATGCTGGTGCTTGATTGCCTTTCAAATTACTTCCTAAAATAGTCAATAACAAATGCAGTTTGTAAACCCTTTTTTCCCCCATAATCTTACGGTTTTCAAAATCAAACATATGGAAGCCCATTTCAGAGGGAAAAAAATCGCACCTTGTTAAATAATAATTATGAAATAAGAATTAGAATTATGACATAACAGTAAAAATGATGAGATAAATGTCATACTTATGAAATAAAAGTTGAAATTATGACAAAAAAGTGTAGCATAATAAGTCATAATTATGATATAAAAAAATCTGAATTATGACATACTAAGTTGTAATTATGAGATAAAGGTGAATTTGATGAAAAATTGGGATTTTTTAATTATTGAAATTAAGTCATAATTGTGACATATAAAGTTAATTATGCCATGTAAATTAATGATGTTGTCATAATTTTCACTTAGTATGTTATAATTTTTACTTTTATCTCATAATTATGATTTTTAAGTCATTATTATGTTTTACCAAAGAATGAATATCTTTTCTTACGTGGCGAAAATTTGGAAAATTTCTTATGTTCAATAAAAATGGGATATTTAACTTGACAATAAATAAATAAACAAACTAACTAAGTAAAAATGTAGACCAGAAACTTGGCAATTGATTGGCTGCAATTGAGGTGACTAAAAGGGATTTTTTTATGTTAATCAAAAATAAAAGTCACTGAAGGGGCGAAGAATGTTATAATGTAATAAATAATATGAAAGAGTAATTATGGATTACTCTAATATTTGCAACTGACTTTAAAACAAAGATTTATGATATTTATCATTGTTGTCTTATCACTGAGTCTTCTATAAATGACCACCTTGATGGCAAGGAACAATTAATTCACCGGCAGTTTAAGAACATTGAAATACATCAATTGTTAAATTCACTAAGTCAAGGAGAAAGGAAAGACACTGTAATAATGATACATATTCCAGGAGAGTCGTCATACTTTATGAATGCTCGTAAAATGCAGACTTTAATGGAATTTGCTGCTGACTGCACTGCGATGGGTCACCGTAAATCAGTCCTCAAAAAATCCCAGCATTTAAGACAACTGAACTTTTATGAATCACTTCTGAAGTTCACAGCCATATACTTACTAACTTTAGTGGCCACAACTGAAATGTTGTGCTGGGCTATACTCTCCCTGTCCAGAAGCTCATTGGTGGAGATGGTTCCTCTGACAGGATCGATGTCGAAGAAGCTGTCCAGGTCACTCTTCCAGTCGATGGAATACCTGAAGAACAGAGAACAAATGTAGGGCCAAATTTACCAGCAGCTTGCGCCAACACAAACCCTCTTTTGGCTTTAAAAAACTACTGTCAGGATTTACACAGTGAAAAATTAGAGCTGAAAAGGCATGGACACATTTATTTTTGCAGCTGACCTTATTGCCCTTTCCCTTTCAGATGCAAAATTTATGGGGGAAGAGTATCTAAATGAATCATACTCTGTGATTTACTAAGGCTTGCACTAGTCGACTAGCGGAATGCATAGTCGATATAAAAAACTGGATGATGAGTAATTTCTTACTGCTAAATTCTGAAAAAATAGAGGTGTTAATTATAGGACCTAAAAACTCTGCATGTAATAACTTAGAACACTGTCTAAGACTCGATGTCTGCTCTGTCAATTCTTCGTCATCAGTTAGGAAACTAGATGTGATATTTGATAGCAATCTTTCGTTAGAAAGCCACGTTTCTAGCATTTGTAAGACTGCATTTTTCCATCTCAAAAATATTTCTAAATTACGACCTATTCTCTCAATGTCAAATGCAGAAATGTTAATCCATGCATTTATGACCTCAAGGTTAGATTATTGTAATGCTTTATTGGGTGGTTGTTCTGCACGCTTAATAAACAACCTTCAGCTGGTCCAAAATGCAGCAGCTAGAGTTCTTACTAGAACCAGGAAGTATGACCATATTAGCCCGGTTCTGTCAACACTGCATTGGCTACCTATTAAACATCGTATAGATTTTAAAATCTTGCTTATTACTTATAAAGCAAATAAAGGTGACTTGACTTGACTTGACTAGTTTATTTATAGGTATTTGCGCCATTATTTAATGCCCCATAAATGCATGTTTTAACACATTTGTAACCCTGGACCACAAAACCAGTCATAAGGGTCAATTTGAAACTTGAATAAGCTTTCCATTGATGTATGGTTTGTTAGGATAGGACAATATTTGGCTGAGATACAACTATTTGAAAATCTGGAATCTGAGGGTGCAAAAAAAAAAAATAAATCTAAATATTGAGAAAATCACCTTAAAGTTGTCCAAACGAAGTTCTTAGCAATGCATATTACTAATCAAACATTTAGTTTTTATATATTTATGGTAGGAAATTTACAAAATATATCCATGGAACATGATGTTTACTTAATATCCTAATGATTTTTGGCTTAAAAGAAAAATCTATACTTTTCCTATTGCTACAAATATACCTGTGCTACATATGAATGGTTTTGAGGTCCAGGGTCACATTTTTTTGCCTGTGTTGTTGGTGGATTACCCACACCTGATTATAATCGTATCTGCTTGTTTGCAACCTTACGCTAATTAGTGCTGCTCCTGGTAGATGGAATTTGTTATTATGGAAAGGATCTTCTGCGTCTGTGTTATTTAATTTGTCCATTGTCAGTAAATCAACCGCAGAACTTTACACTCCCATCAGCACTTTTTTGGAATTGAGATCTCACAATAATTTGCCCTGTTGAGTAAATGTGGCCCTTTGTCTTAAGGTGTGTTTACACTTGTAGTTCGTTTCTCTTGGTTCTTTTGGTCCGGACCAAAAAAATTAAATAATTTAGTCCTCACCTAAGGATACAGTCACAAACCTGATTGGAATTTTATGACGTATGTTTTGCAAACTTAGCAGGCAACAAAAACAATTCTGTGCTGGACTAAATGCACTCGTTTTTTTTGTACACATACGGTGGTATTTTTACCTGCTGATAACTCCTGCAGAGCTTTAAGGAGTCACAACAGTGGCAGGAATTCATTGCACACACAAATGAAGATCTGCTGCAATGAGACGGTGGTTCTGTTGCCTGTACCGAACTGTGATGATTAACATACTGTAGCTCCCATAATGAGGTATGCTTGAGCATTCTATTAATTTTAGGGTCGCATCTTGTGACATCACCTGTTTTGCGTTCGTTTAGATTTGTTTGATCTGTTTTGCATTCATATAATATCAGCCAAACCACACCAGAGTTAATTTCAAGTTCATTGTTTGGTGTGCAACACGTTTCGTATTGCAGCGTATTGCAGCGTTTTAATCAAACCAAACCTGCCAAGTGCAACCATTTTTAGGGTCACATCTTGTGACATCCAGGGACGTATTAACCATTGGGCTAGGCGGTGTTGAAGCCCCGGGGCCCGAGCAAGGAGGGGGCCCGTCATTAGCTGTGGAGTAGATTGACTGGCCATCTGTAGCACTGATCGTCAAAGCCCCACCACGCCCCCCTCTTAGCGCTATTATTTAGTGGAGCTTTTCCGTAAATTCCATGCATTACCATTAGAGATTAAAATGTAAAATCTGGATTTGGTTTACCAATCAAATGCATTTATTTAACGATATGTGCACGTATCAATCAGGTGATCGCTGCCCCATATCCGCATTCACCTGCACTCCGATCTGTAAATGGTCGCACAAAGAACAATATTCGATAAGTAAAAATGTCAGCAATTCTGAGAGAGAGGGGCTCAATAAGCGAAAAACTTAAAATACAAACAACAGAAAACATAACTTAGCCAGTAAAATCCCCAGGTATCAGGTTATTTTACTAAAGCTGATGGAGTGGAAGTTTTTGGAACCGAGTGGACCGCACACATGGAGCAGAAAAAACACAGCGTCATCATCCCCACAGATTTTAGGTTAGTTTGGTTATTAACTTGATGGATGTATATTGCTTTTTGTGTTTGAACAAACTACATGTTCGCTTAAGGGTGGGGAGAAAATCCGGTAGAAATCCTATCAATCGTTTTGCGCGTCATGATGTAGGCTAAGCTTATCATTTAAACGCGTTTTAAGCAAGTAAATTCAAATGGTTTTAAACTGTTCATGGACATTAAGCAGCGGGGCAGAATTCATTCTGGTAAATGCGTGCGTTAAGACGGGTTCAGCCTCAGCCTGATACGTGCGGCGCGCACCTGCTCGTATTGCGACTGACTAAACTTGAGTTATTTTTCACTCATTGTGCTTAAACGTTCAAATACACATAGTTATGTGTCAAAATGCCCGTCTTTGCGAGAATCCTCGTAAACACAGTCATGTGTCTTATAATAGTTAAAGATAAATCATGTGTAGTATGAGGCTATATGAAATCCTGCATTATATGATGAGATCTTAAAAGGATGTTCACCCACTGTCATATACTTACCCTCAAATTGTTCTAAACCAATAAGAATTTCTGTGTTCTCCTCAACATAAAAATATATTTTGAAGAATGATCATAACCAGTTTCTGGTCCCCACAGTCATGGGGGCTCAGCAACTGTTTGGTCACCAGTATTGATCCAAATATATTATTTTGTGTTCAACAGCAGAAGGAAACTCATAAAGGGTTAGAACAACAACAGAATTTTCCTTTTTGGGTGAACTATTGCTCTAAAGCAGCCTAATATAGCTGCTGTTGTCATTTGTGTCAATAATGTAAATCAAACATCGGTGACATCACATCCTGTTTTGGGTTTGTTTAGATTTTTATGGTCCGTGTTGCATTCATATATCAGTTGAGCTGCACCAGAGTTCATTTCGAGTTCATTGTTTGACACGCGCCAAGGTTCATATGGCAGTGTTCACGCTTATTCAAATGAACCACAATAACAGTGCAATTGCACAAGTGTTCATTATAATCGAACCAATGTCAAGTGTCAACAATGAATGTATGTTGAATTTATACAGTGAAGACTATTCAGTCTATTTGTACATTTTCTTCATATAATATTTTTTATTCAGTGTTTTGTTTTTCAAGTAGGTCGATTTCTTATGATCTTTGTTCAGTTGTAGCTTAATTTGTGACTCTTTACTTGTCTTCAGTAAGCTTATTTTTACTTACACTAGTATTATTTTTTTTGTGTGATATTGAAATTGGCAACAAAAATAATGAAATTTCAGGGCATCAATAATTTTGATATAGGATAATCCTATTTAAAGCTTTATATATATATCACGCGCCAAGGTTCATATGGCAGTGTTCATGCTTATTCAAATGAACCACAATAACAGTGCAATTGCACAAGTGTTCATTATAATCGAACCAATGTCAAGTGTAAACACGCCCTTAAATACAATACATTTGAGGGACATTTTCACTTTAACTAGGTTAGATACTACTAGATTAGTACCATAGATGAACATGATACTCAAGAGTGTATATTAAAAATGTTTTTTCTCATTTTCTCATCCTCACAGTTTTACACAGCGCTCATCATGTTTGATTTAGTCATGCGGCAAGCTGGCATGAAAATATTGTGCACTCTAGTAAATTGCGATGTGTGGGGTCCAGTTTTGAACAGCTGTGAACATCGGTGTAATGGCCTAGCAACCTTGTTAATGGACCCTGTAACCATTCTCAGGTGGTACTTTACATGTGTCTCTTTGAGACTTTGCACACCAGTATGCATGAATATGAATAACTTTGAAAAAGTTGGGTTTTCATTGACCTCCTTCATGTTCTACTCGACGCTTTGGACTCATTCTCTCACTAACACTTTTGCAAACCTGTTCTGAACTCTGGATGCATTAATGCAGGCTGATATTTTCAACGCTGCTTATTTATTTATTTGTGGCTTGACCTAGAATTGAGCAAAGAGAAATGAAGTTGGAGCAATGGGCGAGGTGAGATGCTACGGTGTTTATATTTTCCACATTTCAGCGGCTGCCTTGTTAAATTCACTCAAAAGGTGGTCAACAAAAAAACATCTGAGGATTTTGTGCATTTGCATTGGATTATCAACAAAAGCCTTTGATGTTGTGATTCACAACCGTTAGGAGGCCCGATTCAACATAATAATCATCATAAATACCATACAGAGACTGCAGCTGTGGCAATGTAATGCATATAAAACCGACTCATCTGGAATTGGTGTTAATATAGCACATTTCAAAGCACAAAAAAAAAATTGGGGAAAAGGAAATATCTCTCAGGACCCTCAGAGTCATGTGGCATCATGTATGAGAGAGAAGAAAGACTAAAATGTTCTGGCATTGTCATCATAAGCTGCTTTTGAAAGCCAAATATTTAATATGAAGATCAAACAAGATTGGAAAGCAGTGCATGCAACCTTTTGTAATATTTAAAAATGTTAATTATTGAATCTTCATGTTCTATTTAATGTTCTATCAGGCCAATTTTTTTTTTTCTGAGAGCCACAGAAGTTTTAGTTGATTTCCAATTAGCTAATGGTTAACCTAATTTATCTGAGCAAAGCATTTTTATATATATATTATTTTATTTAAATTTTTTAAACAGCCAATGCTGCTGCTACACGAATAAAAGCTTCAAACAGAATTTCAATATGCTGCTTCATTAATCTTTACAAGACTACGAGATTACAAAACAAACAGACTGATGAACAAATTATTCATTGTAGAAAGTAGTTAGAGACCGGCTCGACAGACCCTTGGCTGTGCGGAGAGATGAAGCAGAACATCAAATTTGTCCTATTTTTACAACTAACATGACTCTCTGTTCTATTCCTGTAGGAGGATGTGAGAGTCAGTTAAATAACTGTATCTCCTGCATTTTACCTCTTATTAACTGTTAGTGAATTGAATAGGACAGTCGCTGTAATCAGGGGTCAGTATATTCAAATGTTAACTCACAGATGAAACATTAATAAGTATTTGGAAAAAGAAAGCAAGAGCTGTGGGTCGACTCAGCTGAAATTGCAGCTTTGCTGGGCCCGAGATCCAAATGTGTAATGAGATAAATATCCCAGAGGAAAAGCTGAGTATGTTAAAAAACAAACATTCATAAATACAGGAACATCCAAGAACAAATTGATCTAAAATCAACATGAAATGCTGTTCAAAACCCATTTTGCTTTCATAATATGATTCATTTACAAGTGCAATTCTGAAAGAAAAAAATACTTTGCTAGAGGTTTTCAAAGATAAACATTTTATTTTCTTTGAAAAACAGTGATGAATTATGCAAGCATTTAGAACGATAAGAGGGTCAATTTTGATTTCACGTTGACCTTAATCTGTTCTATCATCTTGGCTCTAGTCTGTGCTTCTCTGATCACTCCAGGAGCTATACAGCATTTCTAATGCAAATGCCTCCTTAGGGTGAACCTCTTATGTTGTATTTCCTCATTTCTTGGTTACTTTGGTTAAAAGCTTCTTCTAAATGAAGAAATGCACTTGTAATTTACTGTACAGAAGTCTACATTCCTCATATCAGTACATTTTGCTCACCGTGGGGCTCTGAACTCTTTTTGGTTGGTTTACCTCAAGATAGGTTTCAGTGAACTTTTGTGCATGCGAACAACACAGCTTTGGACAAATGTACTTTTTCATAAGTCTGTCCATTTCTGATCTCTCTGCAGCTCTTTTCTTGACCACCGAAGCTTGGAGAAAACTTAAAAAGCTTCGGTGGAAGTCGCAGAAACCTTCAATACCAAAAAGCACTTTAGCTATTTTGTCTCACTCCATGCGCCGCAACGTGGACATGCGGCGTGTATAGACAAATTTTTAAAAGCTTTGTTCCCTTCGCAAGGAGGCTCATTGGGGACTATTGTTTTCCGATGAGAAAGTGCACATCCCCATTGAGCAATGTTACAATGTGTCTAAATATTTAATCAGGGAAGACCTTTCACTTATACAAATCTTTCCTTTGTCCATTTTGCTTTCTTACAGTATATTGAATGAAATATTCATAGAGAAACAAACTAACTTGTGATGTTAGGTAGTTTTGGGACCCCGCAGTGGTGCATCAATGGTTTGTCTTCTTGTAAAACGTTAAAAGCAATCTTCTAAAACATAATGGATTTTAAAACGAGGTAAATCTTTCAGCATGCTGCTGTTTTTACCTGCTGTTTTTAGTAAACACAAATATTGGATATAGTGATGTGTAATTTGGCACACAACCAGTTGTTCCATGGAAAAAATTAAAGGGATAGTTCCCCAAAAATGAAAATTCTGGCATTAATTACTCACCCTCATGTCGTTCCAAACCTGTAAGACCTTCGTTCATCTTCGGAGAACAAATTAAGATATTTTTGATGACCCTCCCATAGACAGCAAGGATCCTAACATGATCAAGGTCCAGAAACGTAGTAAGGACATCGTTAAAATAATCCATGTGACATCAGTGTGTAGGGTATCAGACCGAATCAGACAATCTAAGATTTGGTCAAAACATGGTTGAAACATGAGGAGCCAAATTCCACAGAGACCCAAGACACAGGATGTTCGTAAATCAGATCTTGGCCCCACAAGCCTGAACCAACTAGCAGCTTTGAGTAGCTCACAGCATTTAAACAAAAGAACACTTATTGACAATTCCAAGGAGATTGTCAATTTTAGGGCAAGTAATCAAGATTAAATGGTCAAAGAGATGACCACATGACCATCACGTGATAGTAACTACAATCACGAGCTCTTTGGAATTGACTTCCCCCACCTCGACCACAGAGAACAGACTGAAATTCCTTATGAGAGACCTCTTAACCTCTGGTCTTCATACATTCACAGAACATGTCCTTATGTTCAGAGAATGGCACAGAAACTGCATTTCCATGTAAATATGCATCTAAATGACACTAAAAGGACTTGAGCAACTAATCATTTCAATGCATAACTCCATATCATGTATGTAACACACACATCAGACTATCAGGTCTTAATCATTTATTGTGTATGTATTTTGAATAACAGATTTATCCAATAAAGCCTTATTTATATTGAAAAGAGAAGTATCTTGTGTTTTGTGCTTACAAGTTAATGTCTTAAACTGCCGATCTTGTTACTGTGCTAATAAATAGTGTTTCCACTATACTTTGGATATTAATATCCATTGCAGAGTTGATGTTATACGGCTCGTTCAATGAATCGCTGGCCGTCTCAGTGAGCAGCCGTAAAACAGTGATTCTTTCCAAATTCCCTTTAAAATCTTAAATGATTCCCTTTGAGCTAAATTGACCTGTTTCCCTTACAAGTGGTTTAACCGTAATTTTTTGAAACTACGAGAATACCTTTTGTGCGTAAAAAAAAAACAAACATAACGATTTTATTCAACAATTTGTCTCCTCCGTGTCACCCTGGCAACATTTTGGAGAGTATCACATACGTAAACAACATATGCAACGTATGAACGCGGATACGTTGTTTACATTCAGATCAAAGCGTAAACAGCGTAAACAACGTATCCGCATACGGTGCTGCTGACACAGAACAGAATACGTTGTTTATTTATGTGATCCTCTCCAAAATGGCGCCAGGGTGATTCGGAGGAGACGAATTGTTGAATAAAGTAATTATTTTTGTTTTCTTTGCACACAAAAAATATTCTCGTAGCTTCATAAAACTGAGGTTGAACCACTGATGTCACACGGACTATTTCAACTATTTTAACGATATCCTTACTACGTTTCTGGACCTTGATCGTGTTCAAGGTCAGAGAGCTCTTGGAATTCATCAAAAATATCTTAATTTGTGTTCCGAAGATGAACGAAGGTCTTACAGGTTTGGAACGACATGAGGGCGAGTAATTAATTCCATAATTTTCATTTTTGGGTGAACTATCCCTTTAAGTCTGGAACATCCTCTAAATATGATGCTCAAACGCACAATAGTGATGGCTCGCTTCTTACAAGGACTGAACTAACAACCTTCCGGTAACCAGCCCCTAGTCTTATTCGTTTATATGTGCTATGTTTGAATACCTGACTGGACTGTTTCCTGCATCGAGATCCTGTGCTGTCACGGCTCCTATGATGGTGCCTTGTGGCGTGTCCTCATAAACATCCATCGCGTAGGAGGGTTTGCTGAAGACGGGAGGCTCATCCACATCCAGAACGTTTATCTTCACTGTCGCTGTGTCTTTGAACGGGCCAAAATTGTGGAAGCGTGGATCCAGGTGTGCATTGGAGGCCTCCACTTTAAATGTGTATGCTTTTTTGGTCTCATAGTCCAACGGCTGGGGAAAGAGAAACAGGAAAGAAAAAAAATATATATTGAATGCATCAGATTTGTTCAGGTAAAGTTTGACAAGGCCTCTTGAATTAGACAACACTGAAAGGTCACCGTTTGGCTGGTTATTCTATATATATATATTCTATATGTGTTTCTGTATTTGTTTTATTTTATACATTTATTATTTTTGACTTTAAGTTTTGGGTGAGTGAGATTTTTTTAAAGAAGTCTCTTATGCTCACCAAGGCTGCATTTATTTGATAAAAATACAGAATAAAACAGTACTATTGTGAAATATTTATATTAAATGTTTATTAACAATTTTTATTTTAATACATTTTAAAATGTTATTTATTCCATTGATGGCAAAGCTGAATTTCCAGCAGTCTTCAGTGTCTTCAATGATCCTTCATAAATCAATCTAATATGTCGACTTTGTGCTCAAGAAATTATTAGAAGTGCTGAAAACAGTTGTGGTGTTTAATATTTTTGTGGAAAATTGTTTTATTTCAATATTCTTTGATGAATAGAAAGTTAAAAAGAACATTTATTTTCAATAGAAATCGTTTGTCATATTATCAATGTATTTACTGTCACTTTTGATTGATTCAATGCATCCTTGCTGAATAATAAATTATGAAGTGCTTAAATTGTGCAGTAAAAATGAATATTTTTCAGTTAGCCCCTGCTGGTGGATGTTGTAACTACAGCATCAGGTTCAAAAAAAGATGCTAACAGACAGCGTTCTCCATATTGGCCACTCATTGAGGTCTTACATTAAAGCTTCATTTATTTATTTGCGTTTTATCTTTTGCATAAATTGCTCGCTTTGATCATTTCGAATGCGGGGCCTTTCTCAGATCTCAAGTGTGTCGATGTCAGCCTGTCTGGGGAAGTTTGTCACAATTGCTTTCAGGCATGTCAAACAAACAACACACACTCCAGAAATGGTTCTCTCACGCTCCCATGCACATTTTCTCCTGATTTTGCTCCCCTTCCTGTTGATTCGAGGCCCCTTTTCTGCTGAAATCTATCTTTAAATTCTCACTTCGGTTCTTCTAAATCAAAGCTTGTCTGCCGTCAGTATGACAGCCGTAAAATGTATGTGTGTGGATGATTGTGGTCTTGCACCATTAATTCAAAGCAGCCCATCTAGAGATGAAAATCATACAGTGCTATCTCTGTCAATCTCTCTCTGCGAGATGGCGAAAGGGCAAAGGAGACAAAGATCATATATCTGACCTGTATACGGTTTCCATCATGAGCAATTTACTTCTGTATCATCTTCAGATGAAAGCAAACACCATAGGTAGAAATGAATGACACCCGCAGATCCGTAAATACACATCATATGCACTCTATATGGAAGTAACATGTATTTTGCACCAAAGCAAACAGCTGTTTAGCTAAGAAAGGAAAAGACGTCAACTTTGGGTGAGTGGCAACTCGGGATCATTTGGGATTTGGTGGTGTCAGATGCTCCTTGCTGAAGTTTCCACGTCAACTAAATCAAATTGTGCTAATTAGACTCCCAATTAGGTGAAAGTGAACCTCCAAAACCTGCAGTTGCTAATTAGCTAAAGTTGACATGAAAACAGACTCATTGGTATTACTGAAGTCTTAACTACATAATACAGGGAAAATAAGCTCACAGTTGCCCACAAGTAATTAGGAACCAAGTCATTTTACACAAAAGATATTTATCTAATTATTCAAACTAGCCTATGGCCTTCTGCGTCCCACAGAGACGAGACTGTTTGACCTTTAGAGGATAAGAGATGCATTGATATCAAGGTTGCAAGCAACAGAAACATGTCAGAAAGGCAGTTTGCAGGGAAAATAGCTTGATTTTCAGAAAAAAAGGACACGTGGAGGACTTCGGTCTTCTTTAATATGCATAACGCTAGTAAAACTGTATTTCCATCCGGATGACATTACGCCACGTCCCTCGTTTCAATCAGAACGCATAGCCTTTGTATAGCCTCTAATTTGAAACAAAAGCTATAAATTGCTCTCTGACTGCCATTTCATGTGGTTATTTTCCATCTTGGTTCCCTCAAAGGGATCTTTATTGATGCTCATATTGAATTATGGCTGGATCTTCACAGTCACATTGCTTGAGAAAGGCCCGCACCGCCTTGTGATTTACTTTCCCTCCATGACGATTTTTTCATTTATACTCCCCCAGAGTGAGTTTTCAAGGTCATTTAAGCTGGTAAACTATTTGGCCACATAACAGCTTTGCTTCAGTATAAATTAATACTTAAAAACATGCAAAAATAGAGAGATAGAGATACTAAACAACTTCCGCGTCACCTCTGCACTAATGCTGACTTCATAAAAATTGGATATTTGCTACTGTCAGACAAATGTGAAACTATCTTCTTTGCTCAGAATATGATATATTCCAATATAATATAAGAATGTAACATCTGATAGACTTACAGATTGGAAGAAAAAAAAAATCATATGTACAGCCTTGAACCTCAAGCGAACAGGCCAGCAGTCCATTAAAACGACAAATAATGAGAAAAAGATGAATGTGTTACTCATCTTTTCCTTTTTCGTGTGCAATGAATGTAACTGTAACTCAATAAAAGTTAATAAAAATATAAATATATAGTTTTTGAATACACTTATTCTCACAAGGGCTGTATTTATTTAATAAAATACAGTAAAAGTAGTAATATTGTGAAACATTATTTAAATTTAAAAGATTGTTGTCTTTTTAAATATATTTTAACATGTAATTAAAATACTTTGCTTGTGATGCAAAGCTGAATTTTCAGCATCATTATTCCAGGCTTCTCCGTTAAACGTTCCTTCAGAAATCATTCTAATATGCCAAAATAATTGCTGCTCAAGATGCATTTCTTATTATTATCAATGTTGAATTTTGCTGCTTAATAATTGTGAAAATTGTGATAAACTGCCAATCAAAAGTTTGGGGTGGTTTTTTTTTTTTTTAATACAATTAAATTTTTTTTTAATCATTCAAAGTGAGAAAAAGACATGTGTAATGTTACAGAAATTTCTATTTTTTTTAATGCTGTTCTTTTAGGCATTCTATTAATCAAATAATGCATCACCATTATTAATATTTGATCACCAAAAATAATTGATAATAACTGAGCACCAACTCAGAATATTCTAATGATTTTTGAGGTATCATGTGACACGGAAGACTGGAGTAATGATGCTGAAATTTCAGCTTTAGAAATTACATGTTAAAATATATTAAAACTGAAACCAGTTCTTTTAAATTTCACAATTTTACATTTTAACTGCATTTTTGATCAAATACTGTAAAAGCACTTTTTATGTTATAAGCATGGATAATGAGAAAGAAGCGCTCCATTATGTACATTTCCAAATCAACGCCTGCTCTCACAACCATGTACATCAGATTCCCATTTGAGTTTTCACGACAGGCCCGAGATGTGAGGTGAAAAGGGTGAACCAGACATGGCATCTCCCATGTCCGGTATTGATGGTGGACGGTGGACGTGAACGGTGATTAAATGTCAGAGGAAGCTGCAGGATTATTGGAGGTGAGGAGGTTTAGCCTAGAAGAATGTCAAGAGCATCATTGCCCTTTTAGTGTGTGTGAGTGGCCACATCACCCCGGCAGCATCGGTTAATGACTTTATGCCGAGACCAGGGAAAAGAGAGAGAAAGAGAGAAAAGACGCAGGAAGGGTAATAATGACAGTGACTCAAAACTAATGAAAGGCTCTTCAAGTGTGTCACTAGTTGTGATGAAACCGAATCACAATACGAAGACTATAGTTTACGACAGCTTTTTCTCGTAAAGGTCCTGAATGCTTTAAACCCTTGACCATGAGAAATAGAGCTGTTGCTTTAATAGCATAGACGTATCTGTATAGCCACTTACTGATTACACTTGAGTAGTAAGACGAAACTAGCTTCTGAACTGAGAAAGAATATATTCATCAAGAAAATGTTCAGAGACTTTCACCTGTGTTAGGATATAGCATCCTGGATTATTACATTTTCTTACAAAATGTGCATTTTTCCTTGCCTGTCACTCAATATGGGTCAGACTGAAAAATAACATGTCAAATATTCATTATAAAAATCAAAATATCTGGCAGTGAATGAATTAATTGAGACTACAAGGTGGTTTCAAACTAATTTTCAGCTCCATCTATAGATTTGTTGTCACAATCAGACAGAAAATCTTGTGTTCTTGAAAAATAACCATATTTTGCGCATCAAGCATCCGATAACTATTATCTATCAACAAAACAGATGAATTACACACATCAACATTATTTAACTTAATGGTAGATGTCACCTCTAGTGAGTATTTTCATTACAAAGCATTGATCTTCAATTAAAGGTCACAGTAACAGGACAATAACTCAAGGGACACACAGAAAACCTTAGCTATCAGTGGTGAAGTGACACACACACACAAAGCTACTGAGAGAATGTAATTCTAAACATTTGATTGTATGTGGGTTGGGGGGATCACTGATTTAACATTTATCTTTCATTGCACTTCAGAAGTTAAACTTGTTCCTCACAAGCATGATATGTAAAATGATTAATAATTGGACTTTAATTCCCACAGCAGTGTTTAATACTATAAATAGTCTTCTTTCTTTTTTAACTGGTCTATTAAGATTATAATCATCAAATGTGACATTATACTGTAAATGCCACAGCCTGTGCTCTAGAAGTAAAACACTGAACTATATGCATTTTCTGGTGTTGCTAACAGGATACTGTTAAAAAATTTGGGGTCAAAAACACTGACTGATTGATTGATGTAATTTGAAAGAAACTGAAATTAACACTTTTATTCAGAAAAAGATGCATACAATAGGTTACAGTGACAGTAAAAACATTTATAATGTTACAAAATATTTATATTTCAAGTTAATTCTGTTATTTTGAACTTTCTGTTCATTAAAGAATCCTGAAAAAAATAGTACTACAGTTTCCACAAAAATATTAAGCAACACCACTGTTTTTAACA